CCAGCCCCGCCCCCCGAGGCCGGCCCCGCCCCCCGAGGCCGGCCCCGCCGAGCCCCACCCCCTCCTCGTCAGGACCTGCCCACGGAGGCATTCCCCGCCCCGGCCCCGCCCCCCGAGGCCGGCCCCGCCAGGCCCCGCCCCACGCCCCGGCCCCGCCCCCCGAGGCCGGCCCCGCCAGGCCCCGCCCCCGCCCCCCCGGCCGGCTCCTCCAGGCTCCACCCCCCGCGCGCCCGCCCCGCCCTTCCCCGCGCGCCCCGCCCAGGCCCCGCCCTCCAGCCCCGCCCCGCCAGGCCCCGCCCGGACCTGGGGCAGCGCGATGCTGAGCTGGCGCTGCAGCGAGTCCTTCTCGTGGCCCAGCTCGCGCAGCCGCAGCTGCGCCGTGGCCAGCCCGTCCTGCGCCTCGCGCAGCGTCTCCAGCAGGCGCTCGCGCTCCGTGAGCATCGTGACCATGAGGCGCTCCAGCTCGCCGCCCGCCTCGTCCGGGCCCAGCGCCGAGCCCCGCCGGCCATCCTCGCTGATGGTGGGCATCACCTCGCACATCATGGCGGCGGTGCCAGCCTGCGGGGGGCGGGAAGCGGACGGGGAGCGGAGACCCGCCTCGTCAGGGGCCAGGCAGGGAAACTGAGGCACGGCCGGGGGCGGTGCGGAGGAGGGCGAAGCCGGGCCGCTCTGCTGATGACGGGGTGCGGGGCACTGCTCCGGGAGAACCGGTTTGGCCGCCAGGTGCAGCCAGGGGAGACTGAGGCTTGCCCTGTGTCGTCACAACTGAATCTCATTGCTTTCAGGGAAACGGCCCTGGCTACCCGGGCGAGGCCATCCGGGGAAGCTGCGGGACCCAGGGTCGTTCCTGCCCCGCTCTGCGGAGCGCCCCCCTCAGCGTGGGTCGGGAAACAGGCCCAGGCCGGCCACCCGGAAGGCGATCGCTGGGACACAGCTCCTGTGCGAGGCCGGGGGCGTGGCTCTCAGCTACATCCCCGCCCAGCCCTGGCACCTAAAGAACCCACAGAACCACTGCACTTGGGCGCGGGGGCTGAACAACACCGCCTGAAGGCACCTCGCTCCCTCTTCACACCCCAAACCCTAGCCCCTCCCCGCTCCTCTGGCCACAGGAATCCAGGCTTCTAGCCACTTCCTTGCCCAGAACTAGGGGTCCGAGCTTCCTCCTCCCAAATCCCAGGAGTCAGGGACTCCTGCCTGCCCTCCTCCCAGGAGGCCGTCTCCCCTGGACCAGCCTTTAGCTCCCTCCTCCTCCGGGGCACAGGGGTTCTGAGAAGGGGCGGGGCTTGGGAGGGAAGGCGGGGCTTGGGTCGCTGGACCCCGCCCCTGCACCCCTCCCTCCACGCACTTCAGGTCGGACGGGCCCTGCTCGCCCACCCGGTCGAAAGCAGGAGGGACTTTCACTCCAGTCCTTGCTTTGCAGCATAACCGGTTCTGAGAGTGGCTCGTTCCCAGCCCCGCCCAGTATGTGGACGGTGTCCAAAGCCTGGACTCCTGCGAGGGGGAGGACAGGGGGCTGAGGGCACTGGCGCCTGGGACAGGGTCTTTAAAGTGGTGCATCTGGGAACCCGGACTGGGAGACCCAGCACTCGAGGCCTAATTCAGGACGCTGGGAGCGGTCAGGCCAGCCTTAGGCCAGAAGCCAACGTGGTGTCTGCAATCCACCACCAGGGGGACGCTTTAGGGAGGCTGCTCTGGGATCTCAGGCTCATTCACTAGAGAGAAATGAAACACAGCAAGTCTGGGGCAGGATCTGTGAAGCCACCGTGCCGCGCTGACAGTGTGCTGGGATGAGGGCACATTCCAGGACTGGAGTCTGGAACCTAGAACCAGCCGGGAGCAACCCGGCCCCTTAGAGAGCGGCTCAGTCAACCCCAGAGCCCCAGCCACAGAGGGCGTCAGATCGACACCTAAGGCAGTGCCCAACGAGCCCAGCTAGGAGATATCTTCTAGCACTTGATGAGAGGATGGTACAACAGGGACTATGGCAGGGGTCGCATCCTTGGTTTCATCACGTGTCTAGATGACGAGAGAACCCTGCAGGCAGAGCATGTGCTCCGGAACGCAGCACTCGCACCCGGGTCCGAGGGAAACAGAAAGGAGCAAGGAGTCTGCCTGGAACTTGGAAGAGGCTGCAGTAAATGCAGGAGGATGCCTGCGGAGACCTGAGAATTTCCTGAAATAAAGGCTGAGCTGGCAAAGCGGGGGAGTTCTGGAAATGAGACATTTCTAGGCTGAAGGCTCCAGAAGAGGAGAGAGCCTAGAACATGTTTAGAATGCCAACGTGGCAGACGGAGGAAAACGCGTATACTGGCCCGGGGTCGAGGCTCAGGCTGCCCTAGGGAAAAAACAGACCAGGTGGAAACGGGTGGGCTTAGCACCTAGAACCCGGAGACGGAACATTGGGAACATACTGGAACACAGAACATCTTGCTGGGAATTTTCTAGATTTAAGACTGAGAAATTAGACACGACCTTAAACAGAAAAGTGCGTTCCAAAGTCCACAGCACCAATCGGAAAAAACTGGTGAACATAATTCATACACATTCTGGAACTTAGAGTGTCCTTGGTAGGAGAATGGCACCTAGAACAATGCCAAGGATGTGGCTCATAGAACACATCTGAGATAAAACTTGGCGTACGCAGTACGGGCTAGTTGTGGAAATGTGGAATATGTCTGAGGAGCGCGTGAGACTAGATTTGGACTGAGGACGTCATCTAGACCTTTGAAAAGATAAATAGGAAGAGACGTGCCTAGAACGTAATGTGTGGCCCAGAACCTAGTCCATGCCTTGGAACAGAGACATGCACTGGGGGTGTCCTGGCATTCTAGATTCTAGAACATGGCCCATTCTAGAACATGCAAAGGCACATGTGTTAATTAGAAATGCAGAAGACAGCGGCCAAGTTCTAGACCACACAATGAGCCTAGGACACAGAACACGTCTGAAGGAAAGGGTGTGCCTTTGGCTCATCAGCCTGAGAGAATGCACTTGGGAAATGGGACATCATGATTCGGGCCCCAGGGGGCAATGCGTCTTGGGGAGATGGAAGAGGCAAGAGAGCCCCAAACGAAGCCCAGCACCCCAGACGACATGGGGATGAGGCAGGGGATTGTCAAGGCCATCTGGGATATGAAGCTGAGGGCAGAGAAGGGAGACCCCTGACGGATGTGAGATCGGAGAAGCTGCACACCTGGAGTAGGGGCCAAAGAGCTGGGGGCTTGGACTCCTGAATCCTTGTGGAGGTCAGAGATGGGGCATCAGAAGCTTAGAGCCAGATTCCCTGGGAGGGGGGAAGGCTGGGACACACACAGGCAAAGGTTTGGTGGGGGTGGGGGGCAGCTCAGAAGCTGGGGTTTGAACTCCTGAGTCCCTGAGGGGCTGGAAGAATGGGGACAAGGCATCTAGGTCTCCTGGGGCGTGGGGTGAGGAGGTGGGGGTGGACAGAAGCCAAAGCATCGCATTCCAGGCCCCTGAAAGGGTGGGAGTCCCAGCGCCCCAGGCCCTGGGGGAGCAGATGCTGGGGTGGCAGAAGGCCGTGTGCATTTCAAGAAGCGCAGGGGGCTGCTGAGCCGGGTGCCAACGGCGGCGAAAGCTGCAGACTGGACTGGCAGGTCCTGACGGGGTGAGGGCTTCCAGCCGGGTTCAGCAAGGGAAGGAGCACTGACTGTCCCCCCAGGGGTGGCCACAGCCCCCAAGGCGGACAAGGCAGCAAGAATCAGAAGCCTGGGCTCCTGGGGGAGCGCTGGGAGTCCCGGGAGCACGGGTGCCGAGGATGGGGCCGAGAGCCTGGACGGCGGAACCCTCAGGCCCGGGTATCCCCGGGTCAGAAGCGTGGCGGGGGGATCCCCCCCCCGGCGCCGCCCGCGCCCCCTCCCTGGCGGTGGCGGCATGGGGTGGGGGAGGCGAGGCTGCTGAGAGCGCTGACCATGGACAGCTCCAGAGCGGGCCTGTGTCCAGGGCGGCCGCCCAGCAGTCCTGGACCGAGGGACGCGGCCGGCTGCCCAAGCCCGAGCCTGGAGCCGGGCAGACGGGGTGCGCGAGTGGGGGACGATGCGGACGCGACGGGGGGCGGCCGGACGTCGCCGGGGGAGCCTGACACCGCGCGGCCGGCGTCTGCAGCTCCCGGGACGGGGCCGAGGAGGGGGGATCTGGGCCCAGAGGGGGTCCCCGGGGGCTGAGCCAAGAAATCCAGGCTCTGGGCCCGAGAGGAAGCGCAAGGCGGAGGTCTGCCTGGGATTCTGGGGTTCGGCTGGGGACTCCGGGCGCCGGGAAGAGGCACGCCTGAGTCTCTGGGGCTGGGCTATGAAATCTGGGCTCTGAGGTCCCTGGGGATGAGGAAGAGAATCCAGGATTTCGAGGAGGCGGGAGAGGCTCGCCGAGGGGTCCCCGGGGTGGGCGCTGCCAGGCGGGCTGGGCCGGGCTCTCACCTACCTGGTCCGCGGCGGCTGCGGGCGGAGCCGGGCTGCAGGAGGAACGTGGGGTGGGGTAGGGGGACCGGGCGGGGCCCCTGGCGGCGGCCGGGGCCCGGCTCTGTGGCTCCGGAGCCCTGTCTCCGCGGCTCGCGCGGGCTCCGCGTCTCTGGCTCCGGCTTGGGCGCCGGGGACCCCCCTCCCCCTCACAGTCTCACAGTCCTCTACCCCCTAAAATAGCCCCCTGCCCCTGTCACCGTTCAGCCTCCCCCCGCGAGGCCGCAGCCGCCAGATCCAGGGGTGCCCACCAGCGCCCCCCAAATCCCACCTTCCCCCCCAAAAAAATTCCTCCTCCCTCCCCCTCCCCCCACCGCTCCCGGGCGGTCGTGGCCCCTTTAACAGGAGACTGACAGACGGCCCTGAGTGGCCAATGGGAGGCGGCGTCGGCGCCGGCCGGCGACTAGACCCCGCCTCCGCACGGGCCGGGAGGGGTCGCGCGGGCGGAGAGCGAGAGGCGGGGCTCAAGGCGCGTCGGCCAATCGGCGCGCGGCGTGCGGCGGCTGGGGCGGGAGGCGGAGCCCGGCAGGGGGATGATGTCACCTGGAGCGAGTAGCGCGCGGCGTGGACCGCGAGCGGCGACCCCGGATCCCGGCAGGGGCGCGCTCTGCCCCTCGCAGCGCTCGGGACGCCGGGGCCGGGCGGGCCGCAGGATGAGGAGAAAGGCTGGGTTTGCAGGTGAGGGAGGCTCCCGAAAGGCCTTGCTTTAGTGGGCAGGTGGGGAGGGGGTGGTTGAGCGCCCAGCGGGCGAGCGCACCTTATGCTGCACCCCTGCCGCCCGCCTCGGGAACTGCACGCGGCGCCCCCACCCCCGGCTCCCACGCAGACGAGCGTGCGGCCTGCAGGGCTCCCCCGGCGGACGAGGCAAATGGTTCGCTCCGCCCCGCCCACACAGAGGCCGCCCACTGGCTCCCGCCGCTTCGGGACTCCGCCGTCAGACCAGCCTTGGAGGAAGGGGCTTGGCCTTCGCTCCGAGCGTCTGTCTTCTCCGGCTCTGGCCCCGGTCGCCTTGGAAAGGGGCGTCCTGGCAGCTCCCCCCCGCCCGCCCCGGCGCCCCAGGGTGCAGGATAGACACGCAGACACTCAGTGAGGGGGTCCAACATCTTTAAATAAGGAGCCAGCGACAATAAATACTGTACAGGGGTGAGGGTGAGGGTCCAGATCTGTGCTGTCAACCTCGGGACTCCAAGGATCTGCAAGGGGGGAGGGCGGAGAAAGGGGAGCCAGGCTCAGCGCAGGGGGCGGGGGGCAGCCCGGCGGGGCACCACGGGGTCAGGCAGGACCGGGGTTCCAGAAGCGAGGGCCCAGGGAGCTGGGGGCCCTCCGGGGGGGGGGGCCCTCCCGGCCTGCGCGGCTGGGTCAGCATCCCCGCAGGGCAAGGGGCCGACGCTGGGGGTGGCAGTCCAGGCCCGGGGCGGCCGGGGCCGGGGGCTCACGAGTAACTCTGGTGCTGCTGGCGCCGGCGGGCGGACCGCATCTTCTCGAAGCGGGCCTCCATTTCCTCCAGCACGCGGGGCGTGTACCGGACTACCAGCTTCACCGAGCCCTGGGCGGCCTTGAGCAGCTCCACCGCCTTCTCGTGCTGCTCGCCCTCCACGCTCTGCGGGGCGGGGCGGGACAGCTGGGCCTGGGGCCCGCCCCCACCCCCGCCCAGCACCCATCGGGGATAGTGCTTGCCGAGCCTGGTGCCAGCCCGCAGGTGCTGGGGCCTCAAGTCCTGCTCGTGGGAGAGCCATGAACTCTTGGCTCCGTGTCCCCCCCAGAGCCCTCCAAGTGCCCCTGGCAGGGGCGGCCTCATGTCCCGCTCAGCCGCCGAGCCGGACGTCCGGGCCCAGGCTGGTCACTTCCCTCCCTCCTACCCTAGCTCCGTCCTGCTTTGCACGGCCCCTGACTTAGCCAGCCTGCAGTCTCTCCTCCATCCACCTCCCACAGTCCCCGGGGTGCGGGTGTCTTCCTGTACCCCTAAGCTGGGCCTTTCGCCCCGCCACGACTCCCCAGCACCCTGGGCACAAAGTCCCAGCTCCTCTGCAAGGCTGGCCCTGGCCGCCTACTGCACCCATGGTGCTCTGAACTCCCTGGCTGCCCCCGCAGGGACAGAGGTACGGCCCCGGTCGCCGCCGTCACCCTCAGCCACAAACACCCCCTACCTTCTTCACCCAATCAGATGTTGCTTCTCTGGCCAACCTCCCCTGTTCATGCACTGGCCCGGGGCTCCACGTGGACTCAGACCCGGTCAGGGTGCACCTCGCTTGCCAAAGAAGCGGAAGCCCGCTTCTCTGAGGGCGCCCGGCCTGCAGGGACTGTGCTGGCCTGGACAGGCTGTGCCCCCGACTCACCACACCGTTCACCGACAGCAGCTGGTCCCCACGCTTGAGGCCTCCGTGGCGGTCGGCCACGCCTCCGGGGATGACCCGGGAGATGTAGATGGGCGAGTTCTGCTCCTTGCCGCCCATGATGTTGAACCCCAGCCCCTCATCGGTCTTGGGGAGCTCCACCACCCGAGGATGTGCGTGGCCCTCACTGGCCGTGAAGGCAGCCACAGTGGCCTGGAAGAGAGAAGTGGGGGTGAGGGCCCTTGCGCCGCAGTGGGTGGGCTCACAGGCGGGGTGCGCGCGGGACACTGCCGGCCCTGGGCTGAAGGCTTGACCTCTGAAGTTACTTGGAGTTGCTGCCATGCCAGAGAGAGAGAGAAACCTGTCTCCATCCTGCAGACGCGGGCGTTCGATACCCAGCACCTGTCAATCTTGTTTTTAGCGGTGGAAAACAAGGCCTGGCGGGGAGCTGAGCGGCCCCAGCAGCAGCCACCTGGTGCAAGCTTGGGGGAGACTGCAGGGCCGGGGGGGACCCGGGGGTTCGCCACCAGGCACGCAGGCAGCCACTGCCTTCCACTTGTAGTTGCAAATGACATTTGCTTAAGTTTACAACGCGCAGTTATTTAAAGGACGCTATGAATAAGTAATAAGGGCGGTCCGTGGAGTCCAAGGAGCAGCAAGCGAGCAGCGATGACTGGCACCGAGCTAGACCCGGCGGTGGGGCGGCTGCCGCGGGCGGGGGCTGGGGGCGCCTACCTTGGCCGTGGCGTGGGCCCGGATCTCGGCGCTCCCGGCGATGTCCAGCGTGTCGTAGAGTTGCTCGTACACCTGGGAGAGGAGGCAGCCGCATCAGGCAGCCCCCAGCCCCTCTCTGCCCCTCCCACCCAAGGGGGCCGCCCCGCCCCCGGAGCTGCGGGAGCCCGGGCGCCCCTGCGCCGCGCGCCTCTCACCTCCCGGATGGCGGAGCAGAAGCGGCTCTGCAGGACTCGCTGGAGGGCCTGCAGCTTCTGCGGAGGCAGCTCCCCGCTGCGCTGGAGCCGCTCCAGGAGCTCCACGGCCCGGGACACGTCTGCGGGGCAGGGCGCGGAGTCAGACGCGCGAGGGCGCGGGGGCCCCGGGCTGAGCCGCCGCGACCCCCGGCCCCGCCGCAGGGCTGCGCGCCGAGCGCCCCCGGGCCCTCCCACACCCACAGCCCGCCCCGCCCACCCCGAGGGTCCGCCCGCCCGCCGCGCCGGCCCGGCCCGCGGCTGCGATCCGACGACGCGGGCCGCGGGCCGGGTGGGCAGGGCCGCTGGCGCCCGCTTACCCCGCTCCAGCCCCAGCGGCTCCACCAGCGCAGCCATGGCGGCGCCACAGCTGCCAGCCGCCCGCCTGCCCCGTCGCCGGCCAGGGGGCGGGGCTGCACGAGGCCACGCCCCGGAGACGGCGCCCCCCGCGGCGGCGCGGCGGCGCGCGTGCGGCTGCGGGGCCCCGCGCCCGGGCGGGCCGGTCCCGCGGCAGCCCCGGCCCGCCCCTATCGTTCTCCCACAGTCGTTCAACAAGCAGCCGGCTACGGCCGCGCTGGGACTTGGGATGGAGCAAGGTCGTCCCCGACAGGACCGTGGCCTCGAGTCCCGGGAGGAGCGGAGGACAGGAGAGGGGCGCGCGCAGGCCGCGCTGGGCTGCGAGCACCGCGGGCCCCAGCGGCTCAGCAGGCAGGTGCGGTGCGGCCTCGTGCGTCGGGAACTTGGGCTGGGTCTGTGAAAACCACCGTGGAGGCGGGGCTTGGGCGGGAGCAGGGGGGAAGTCCCCAGGGTCCCCAAGGCGACTACCCAGGCGCATGGAGGGACAGATGGGGCGAGGGGACAGCGTGGCTGCGGGTGAGCGGCAGGGCTTTGGGGCTGCTGGCCGAGGTCTGTGTGGAGGAGGGGTGTAGTACCCACAAGATCCCAGCTCCGGAGCTCAGCGCCTGGCCTGCAGCTTTGGAAATCCGGGCACCGGAGAGAGCCTAGCTCGGCCTATTCCCCACTGGCCCCCGGGTGGTGCAGCGGGTGAGACGGCTGCCTGGGTTTGAGGCCCGGTTCCTGCTTCGCTTCCGGCACTCGGGCCCCTGACATCCCCGTGGGAGACCTGGACCGAGCTCCCGTCTGGCTGGTTGCTGAGCGTGACTCTCACTCCTCCTTTGCCAGGAGGAAGGAACCATGAGATCAGGATTTCCTAAGGAGTGAGTGGCTGATCCCCCGGGACACGTGTGTCCCGCATCGGCCTGGGTTCAAGGCCCGGCTCCCTTCCACGCCAGCTTCCTGGTGCCGCAAGTAGTTGTCTCTGCCACCAGGCGGCAGACCTGCTGCTGCCTCTGGCCTGGTCTGGTTCTGGCTGCTGGGGGCGCGGGGGAAGATCTGCCCAGCTCTCTTTGCTTTCCAAATTTAAAAAAAAAAAAAAAAAAAAAAAAAAACCTTTGAGAGGATGAGGGAATGCAGACCAGCGGCGGCCCGCCGTCCTCTGGTTGAGCTGGACTGGGCTGTGGAGTCCAGAAGAGGCCCGGTTCAATGTGGGGGTGCTGGAGCAGGTGTGGAGACCCCGTCTCTACAGCATTTCCATTGTCAAGATTTAACTGGAAGGCAGAATTAGAGGGAGGGAGACACAGGGATCTTCCATCGCTGGCTCACTTCACTCCCCCAATGGCTGAAGCCAGGAGCCTGGAACTCCATGTGGGTCTCCTATGTGGGTGCCGGGCACAGGCACTAGCTTTCCCTTGCACATCAGCAAGAGCCGGATGGGACGTGGAAGACCTGGGACTCGAACCGGTGCCCACGTGGGATGCCGGCATCACAGGCTGAGGTCGAACCCCCTTCTCATCCTCTTCCTGGCACAAGGGGCTCATCATGAAAACACCAGTCCTGGGGCCAGCACTATGGCGTAGCGGGTTAGGCTGCCACTCACAGTGCTGGCACCCCACATGGGCGGGCGCCAGTTCGAGACCCAGCTGCTCCACTTCCTATCCAGCTCTGCTATGGCCTGGGAAAGCAGGAGATGGGCCATGTCCTCGGGCCCCTGCACCCACGTCGGAGACCCAGAAGCGGCTCCTGGCTTCAGATCGGCGCAGCTCCGGCCACTGTGGCCAGTTGGGGAGTGGACCAGCGGATGGAAGACCTCTCTCTCTCTGCCTCTCCTCCTCTCTGTGTAACTCCGACCTTCAGACAAAATAAATAATTTTTTTTTTTTTGACAGGCAGAGTGGACAGTGAGAGAGACAGAGAGAAAGGTCTTCCTTTTTTTGCCGTTGGCTCACCCTCCAATGGCCGCTGCGGCCAGCGCACTGCACTGATCCGAAGGCAGGAGCCAGGTGCTTCTCCTGGTCTCCCATGGGGTGCAGGGCCCAAGCACCTGGGCCATCCTCCACTGCCCTCCCTGGCCACAGCAGAGAGCTGGCCTGGAAGAGGGGCAACCGGGACAGAATCCGGCGCCCCGACCGGGACTAGAACCCAGTGTGCCGGCGCCGCAAGGCGGAGGATTAGCCTAGTGAGCCGCGGCGCCGGCCAAAATAAATAAATCTTTTAAAAAAGGAAAAGGAAACACAAGTCCTGGTACCTTCCCTACGTCTCCCACTTCGACGTCGGCTGGAGCTGCCTGACTGGCCGGCTGTGATGGTGCCGCCTCCCTGCCCTTACTCTTCCACTCCCGCGGCAGCAGCTTCCAGGCTGGTGGGACACCCAGCGCCAGCTCAACACGGAGCCCGAGGGGAGCTGAGCCCGCCTCGGCCTGCGATTTCCACGCACCTTTCCTTTTCTCCCAGTCTCGATTTCTTCAAAATCCCCACCATGGCTGCTGTTCTGCGGAGTCTTTTGTCCCTGAACTTTCTGAGAACCTCACCAGGATCTGGACCAACTGCCATCCTGGGACTTCCTGCCGCTGAGCTATGGAACCACATCACTTCCTTTTGCCACCACGTTTAAAAAAAAAAATCACTGAGACAGAGGCTGTTCCCACACACAGGCTCAGTCTGCCAGTGCCGACAGCTGGGCCAGGCCAGATCTGGGAGCCTGGAACACAACCTAGGTCTCCCACAGACGGCAGGAAACCCAGGTCCCCCCTCATCACGGCTGCCTCCCGGACTCTGCATTAGGAGGGGAGGTGGGACTCGAACTCAGGTACTCTGACACGGGACACGGGTGCCTGAACTGCCAGGCAGGATGCCCACTATTTCAAGTCCATTCTGGTTAACAAGTCCTCAGTAAACTTGCTAATAACGCAGTACGGTGTCTCAGTTCGTCCAAATCTTTCCCGGCACTCCTGGTGTTTGGTCGGCTTTCACGCGAGTGTCTGATCAACCATTAGACCCACCAACAGGATTCTCCACTTGCTCTCCCAGCTCTGACTTCCACCCGAGGTCCTAGATTCCAGATGTTTCCTTGTCTCAGCTTCGCCCCCAGGTCTGTTTCCAGCCTCCGCCTTGCACGCCTGGTACATCCTGATAGACGCCAAGTGCTGGGTAGCTGGTGGAGAGGAGCTCCTGGCACGCCCGCCCGTCTCCTCTGCGCAGTGCTGTCCCGTCCACCAGGGCCTCGTCTCCCGGACAACCACCGGCTCTCACCTGCCCCCTCTGGCCTCTCAGGTAGATGACCACGGGCTCTCACCTGCCCCACTCTGGCCTCTCAGGTAACTGTTCTGAGTTCCTGTAGGAGCTGGCAGAGGCCCGAGACAGGGCTGCACAGATCCGGTGCCCTGCGCTCTCCTCTGGGGCGTGTCCCGTCCAGTCCCAGCTGCCCCTCTGACCCTGTCTAGGAAGACTGACGTTTCCTGGTCTGTTCCTCTGTGCTACACTGCTACAAATCCTCCAGGAAAACACAGTGTGCCTAAGGAGGCATTTTACATGGCAGGTTTGTGCACCAGCGCCAAATGGGCTTTCAGTTAAAACCAGACGCCTAGTGGCAACACCCAGGACACCTACAGGCGCAGGTTAACCCGACACACGTCCAGCACCTGCCTCTCCGTTCACCTCGCGGTCTGCTGTTGCCTACTACTCTGGCAGGCGCCTGAGCACCTCTGACCGGAGGCTGCTGCAGAGCGTCCCTCTCAACAGGCAGGCTGCGTCAGGCCATCGGGCCAAGGTCACAACTGCCAAGACAAACCCGGCGCCAGCTCGTGTTTGAACAGGCAGCAGTGGCCCCGCTGTGCCCGCGCCGGCCGTGCTCCGCACAGGTTCTGCCTCGTCTCCGACTCTGGTTCTGGATCTTCTCACACTCCCTGAGGCTCTGCCTTCTCCCACCCGCGTGTGCCAGGCCCACTCCTCCTCTGCTGTCCAGGACCTGCAGGGTCTCTGCGGCTTCCGCGCGCCATTCCTGACGGGGCAGGAGGCATGAATGCCATCTCGGCTCTGCCCCGCAGCCCTCGCTGGGTCTGCACCCTGCTGTTCTCACGGACCCACCCTTCTGTTCTGATGCGGGTCACCTCGCCTCTTCCTCGACACGCCCTGCGAGCAGCACAGGCAAAACCAGGAAGCCACCAGGGGCAGGGCCCTGCGGGGGCTGCCGTACCCCACCCTGGACAGCTCGCACTCTGGGGACAGCCTCGGCCTGAATACACCAACTCAAGTCCTAGGCATCTCTGGAAGACACCAACCAAGGCAGGGCTGAGCCATTACAGGAGACGGGGCTGCTGGCCCAGTGAGAGCAGCCAGGAAACACAGATGCCCACTGTCAACAGGAAATTAATTTTATTTTTAAATCCAAGGGACAACAAATAGAGCCCCCCTCTTGGAGAGCAAACTTAGGTAGCCAAGTTTGGGAAGAGGGACAGGAGGAGGGAGGGAGCCGCCCTCACTCTGGCGCGGCCTCCATCAGATACCCGTTCTCTGGAGCGAGGTACCCGTCGCCTCCCTCAGACTCCACGTACACGTCTCGGCCGTCGCTGCCCAGCCCTTCCAGCCCGTTGTCCTGTCCGCCGCCGCCGCCGCCACCCCCGCCCCCACCCCGGGCTTCATCCCTGCCCCGCTCTCCACCCCGCTCCCCCCGCTTGTGCTCGCGGTCCCGGTCCCGGTCGCGGTCCCGGCGCCGCTCCCGCTCGCTCCGGTGGCTCCGCCGCCGCTCCCTGTCGCGATCCCGGCCCTTCTCCTCTGGGCCATCAGGGCCGTCAGGCCCGAGCTCCCCAGGAGGCCCATCGTCAGCAGGCGCATCCCCAGCCTCAGAGGGCTCTGCCATGTCGCCGCCGCCGCCGCCGCCGCCACCACCTCCACCACCACCTCCACCTCCACCACCGCCACCACCACCTCCGCCACCGCCGCCGCCACGCAGCTCCTCCTTGCGTTCCCGCTCGCGTCTTGCCCGCTCCCGACTCCGGCTGCTTCGCCGCTTCCGGTCCCGGTCCTTGTCCTTGCTCCGCTCCCTGGAGCGCCGCCGTTCGTCCTTGTCTCGGCTCCGTGAGCGCCGCCGCCGGTCCCGAGAGCGGGAGCGTCGCCGTTCCCGCTCCTTGTCTCGCTCCCGGCTCCGCTCTCTGCGCTCCCGCTCGCGGTCCCGGTCCCGGTCCCTGTGGGGAAGCGGGGAGGGGCCGGGCCTGGATGAGGGGAGCAGAGGTGTGTGGCAGGGCTCCCCAGGTGACCACCCCCCATCCCAGGACACAGGGCGCCCAATCTTACCTCTCATCGTAGCGGGATGTGTCGTCACGGCCGGAATGTCGGATGTTCACGTCAGCCCCGCCTCTTCTGGTACCCCCCAGGCCGCCTCCTGGGAGCAGGGCGGGTGAACAGGGGTCAGCGTGCACAGGGCACAAAACTAAGCGCCTCCACTGGGGTGCCAGTCATCTCATGTCCTCACTGGACAGCCATGCTCTGCAAGATCCTCAAGGACCTCCACAAAGCACCGGGTGGGAAACACCACAGCTAGAACCCAGGGCTGACCCCGAAGCTCGCATTCTTGTTCTTACCCACTGTGCCCCACAGCACCCCCAGGACCTCCCTCCCTCCCTCCCTGCAAGTCACCTTCACCCTCACACCAACTGGAGGCCAGGAAGATTCCCAGCTGAAAATGCCAACTGCTTAGAAGGCACCAGCGGTGGCTGCTGGCTAAGACCCAGCTCCCAAGCCACGCCCGAGCTCCTCACCAGCCCCTCCTCTCGGCCACAGTCCTTGTGCACGCCCGCCTTCCCCTGCAGCTACCCAAGCCCTGCTGGACTACAGGGCTCCCCTCCGCATTCAGGCCCACACTTGCTCTCTGTGGGAGCTGACTCCCCCCTCTCCTCCCGACCGTGCAGTGGGGACGCCGCCTGTCCCCAGCAAGAGACACAACACCTTGTAAGGGCAGCCGCCGTCTCGGCCACGCCCACCGACTCAGTAGGAAGAGGTGGGCTGGGGCACGGCCCCACCTGCTGCAGAACCTTTCTCAACCGCTCCTCCTGCCACAGGCCTGGGGGAAAGCAGCCTCCCGCGTGACAGTGACAAGGGAAAGAGGCTGCTGCGATCCCAGGGAGCAGGCAACTGACCAGCACAAGGCAGCTACACCACTGGCTCCAATTTTCAGGTCAACTGGATGGGCTGAGCCAGCAGCTTAGAGAAGAGGGGAGTGAGTGGCCAGCTACAAATACACCCACGTCCTGCATCAGCGCACCTGGGCCTGATCCCCAACTCCTGACCCAGCTGGTGCCGCTCAGTCGGGTCCCTGCCTCTCACACCGAGACGTGGACTAAGTGCCATCTTCAGCCCAGCCCAAGCCACCGCGGGCTTTCAGAGAATGAGCCCGCAATGGGGGCTCTCAAATACACAAAACCAAATAAGCAAACATGAAATGTGAAGTCCACACAAAGATGCAGTTAAAGGGCAGTTACAGTAAACTCCTGAAGACTCTACGCATATTTTTTCCTAATAAACATCTGCGATGAACGTTCAGCTGTCATCTCTGACCCCTCCACACGGCAGGGAGCAGGCGTCTGTCTGGGAGACGCGTGTGTGTGGCTGAGCAGTCAAGGTGTCCTAGCCAGCACCACCCAAGAGCCTGAATGCCTACTGAACGGGAGGATTCTCCATGTTAGAAGACTCTGCGAGGTCGGGGCTCCCTGTGCAGGAAGTGAAGAGCCTGAAGAGCCTACCCTGCCGCAGGCTCTGGCGCACAGTGGACGCGTCCCCGGGAAGCCGACTCGGGAGTGTGTGGTCTCCCCAGCCAGCCAAGTGCGGAGCGAGCTGGAGGGCCGGGCAGGCCTGACAGGCGCCTGCTGAGAGCATCCCGCGGGCCAGGCATGCGTGTGACAGGACCTCGGTCCCCTCCCAGCCCGACACCGAGTCACGCAGGTGAGTCCACCCCCGGCGCAGAGACTCCCCCGGACCGAGTGAGGCAGGAGTGCCGGCGGGCCGCGGCAGCCGCCCTCGGCCGACAAGGCAGAAGCGAGCTGCAGGCCTGAGGCAGGCTGCCCCACCTGTGACAGTCCCCGGGTCCTCCTGAAGACCACTGGCAAATCGACCGAGAGGGCAAATGACCCGCAGCGAGACGGGCCACGTGATGTGAGGGGCTGAATCCAGCGGGCTCACAGGGCCGGCTGCCCGTGTCGCGCCCAGCACACAGCAGCATCAGCCACCAGCGAGTAAGAGCAGCAACCGAGTGAGTGGCGTTCAAGTCCTACCGTGTGCCCCCGCCACACTGGGCAGTGAACTCTGACATCACCCCCTCTGTCCAGGGTGAGGAGAATGAGGCAGAAGTGGGGAGATCCACCAGCTAACACACAAGCCAGTGCCTGCTGCTGGGCTCCCTCTCCACGCCAGCGCTAACCGCACACACACTGAGAAGGCGGCGGGCGGCGATGGAGGAAGGGCGAGACCGGCGGAGGGGGGAGAAGCCAGGCCAGCAGCGGCGGGGGTACATACCTAGCCGCCGGGGCCGCCAGCCCTTCACGGTTCGGCCCCTCTCCACGTCCACAAGGACCCTCCTGCCATCAATCTTCTTGCCGTCTGCGTGCTTGTAAGCGGCTGCAACAGACGTGGGGAGGGGAGGGGGGGGAGTCCCCAGAGGGTCCTCTAGTCAGTTCAGGACCGGAGCTGAGCAGCCCCGCCCCACAGGTCCCCACATCACTCGCACACACACGCCCACCAGACAGCTGGGCAGCTCACAGCCAGACCACCCCTCTCCCAACCCCGTGAGGGGCCTGCTCCATCATGCTGCCAGCTTCCTACTTCAGCACCCCCCAACGACTACTGGGGGGGAGGCAAGGCATCCACCCCCAACCTCCAACGCCCATCGCTCCCAGGCCCTTACTACCCCACTGGATGGAGC